TGAGGAAATTTGCTTTCTCAAATCTGAGCTCCAACGCCACGAGCTTCAGCGTTACCGAGGACCGGCCGTGCGATCAAGATGTCAACGCCTTGTATCGGCCGAACAACCTACAAAAAAAAACATTAGATGACGAGCGCAGACACGCCTTAGCTAAAGAAATTCCGGAGTTGCTATGTAACGGCGCTTACTCAAGAAATAACAACATTATGACCACATTCACACACCATTATCAAAACTGATTTGGTCAGGTCTCCCCCTCATCAAATGAAGAGTATAAGCCTCTCGTTTCACTGCTGCCCAGCTTGAGTGACGAGGACTCCGAACTATTTACTAGACCGTTTTTTCTCAAAAAGATATGCCAGGCCGTGGGGTCCCTTCCTAGCTCGAAGGCACCTGGACCAGATGGCCTCTCAGCAGAATTTTATAAGCAACACATAGACATGATATGCCCATTCCTCCTTGAACTTTTCACAGCTTCACTTCAGTATGGCAGGTTACCTCCATCGTTTTATCAAAGTCACACCGTGTTAATACCAAAAAGCTCCGACTCTGACAAGTTAAGGACTGTTGAAGGGTATCGCCCAATAGCGCTCTGCAATGTCGATTACAAAATATTAACCAAAATTCTTACTAAACGTTTACAATGTGCCATTTCAAGAGTGGTTGGAGCTCATCAAACATGCGGGATTAAAGGCCGTACAATCCAGACAAACAGTCACGTAGCGCGATCAGTTCTTCATTGCTGCGACAGTTTACAAGATCAAGTAGCCATGCTTCAAATTGACCTAGCGAAAGCTTTCGATCGCGTAAGCCATTTCTTTTGGTTTGCTCTTTTAGAACACATAAACGTAGGAAAGGTCCTCCTTAACGATATAAAAATATGTTATTCCGAAGCAATAACTCGATTAATAGTAAACGGGGTTCTTTCCAAACCAATTCACCTTCATTCATCTGTAAAGCAAGGATGTCCCTTGTCTCCCCTTCTGTTTGCGTTATATTTGGAGCCTCTGTGTTTAAGCATACTGAAAAGTACAGATGTAAAAGGTTATAAATTGTTATCTTATGAAGTGAAAGTTCTGGCTTATGCCGATGATGTAGCTTTTTTCCTTTGTTGATAAGCAAAGTATCGACGCTGCATTACAATTAACCCAGCAGTTTTGTAAGGCAGCTGGAGCGCTGGTTAACACTTCCAAGTGCTGTTGACTTTGGTATGGGACTTGAAGGACAACGCCCTCGGATTATGCAGGAATGGCGTGGTCTGGCTTGCCAACTACTTACCTTGGCGCGCCACTAGAATGTGTTCGAAATAGCTCACGCTACTGGATAGAAAGTGTCAAAAAACTTAAGCGCAGAGCGGACATGCTGAAGCCTAATCATCTTTCGGTGTTTGACCGTGCTACTGCATGTAACATTTTCCTAGTCGCAAAACTGTGGTACGTGCTTCAGGTTATTCACTGTGCCCGAGGACACCTTCAGCGTTTCCATAGGATATTTGCGACCTTCATATGGGTCTCTTCATGGGAGCCAATGCGGCGCGACAATCTGTTTCGGTCTATCGAAGCGGGAGGACTAGGCTTAACCCACTTATTTGTACGGAAAATTGTTTCACGTTTCATGTTCCTCAGAACGTCTTCCCACCCGTTCATTAAGACCTTTCTCCAAACTCACTTGATGGATCTCCTCTCTGACCTCGTTGTTTCATCCGACCATGTGGCAATGCCGCGACCTTTTGGCTTTCTCAAAGAAGTCGTCGAAGCTTTGGAGTTTTTGAAAGTGCGTTTTTCTTTGGATTATTTATTCACCATTTCCAGAAAAGAGCTCTACCATAACTTAATAGATTCGCTATTTCCAGACCCTTTATATCGCAGCCACTATCCAAACAGTACAGATCAAGATGTTTTAAAACGAGTTCGCAGGATGCGCGTTCCCCCGACTGCAAAAACATTTTTCTTTAAGCTTCATACTAACACACTACCCGTCAAACCATGGCTACGTGACAAAGGAATTTTTGTACCGTGGTCGGTCAACTGTCGTTTATGCAACACGTCAGAGACTATTCAGCATTGCTTTATTTTTTGCACAGATGCATACCTTTTCTGGGATGTGCTTCAAAGGACTATCAAAAAGGACTTGTATATCAACGCATACTCTATTCGTTTTCTTCCCGTGGAAGATCCAGACACATATCCCTCAGATTTTTTATTTTATTTTGCTCGGTATGCATAGTCTCTGGAAGACTCTCATGATAGACAGAAATGCTGAACCACCAAGGACTACCAAATCAAATTTTATCGAAACATGCAATCACGTTATAAGTGTTTTTGATGAACTCGGGCAAAAGCCAAGATGATACTGGCGACTTAAAAAGTGCCTTTTGATTCCTGATTTCTGATACAGCCGAGTCAGTCCTGCGCACCCGAAGAGCTATGCAAATCTGTCTGAATTGTAAAACTGTTGGTGAAAATGTATCTGAATAAGCGTGTACAATCTCAGTGCATTCTCGTTTCAAAACTGCAACTATGACCCATGTGCCCACCGTCTGTGCTTCCATGCAATAAAGAAAAAAAAAAAAAAAAGATCTGTGGTCGAGTGGGCTAAAGTGCACACCCAGCTCGACGCGCGTGGAGCGAAAGCTCGCGCTGTAGAACCTAGGGATCCTGGGTTCGAGCCCCACCCCTGCCCGTTTCGATCTGGATGAGCATCGTACCGGCGTGCGTCCGTGTATCACTACTGCGTGATGCACGTTAAAGACCCCAGGCTAGCGGTTGTACTGCACTGGCTAAATTGCTCATCTACAGCGTGTGACTCGTCGCAACTTTAATGGCTGACCAACTACACGCTGCATAAATATCCCCATAACCCAATAAAAAAAAACTGAGCTAACCATATGTCAGTAGAGCAAACGGGTTTTAACAGCTGCCACCAGTTTAGCGCCAATAAGGGTGAACGGCCTGCATTTTAGGGTTGTGATGATAATGCAATTAATGCAAAGCTGGAAGCGAGCTGGGCAAGAATAACGATAATAATCCCTGAAGAAGGGGATTAAGGGATACAAATGACGGAGTATAGTGACATAGTATAGTGACACCGTGCTCTTGTCCAATCATAGGTTTAATGCGTGAGCTGGGGTCGGCTGACGTGCATTGCGTTGCACGGATGCGTCACAGTGAAAAAGCGGAGAGCTTTCGCAGGAAAGGAGGTATAAGAAATAGTCTGCTATGTAAAAATTTTCGTAGCGAAAAGCAGGCTTTTAGCTTTCTATCCTCTTTGTTTTGACCCACTATACCAGTGGTCTCAAACTCATTAGAGCGTGGGGGCCAGGTATAGCAGGGAATTACCCAGCTGAATATGTCTCTAAAAACAATAAGCTAATTCGGCAATTCTTGCTTTCCTGGTGGTTCCTATTACAACAACCATACTTGTCTTTTAATGGTGATACTTTTTAAGGCAAGAATCCCGAACTCGTAGCTTTATCTTCGGCAGTTGCTCCAGCTGATCGAGAGTTCGGGCAGCTCGGATGCATTCTTCAACAAAGAACTCGTGCCTGCAGCCTAGAAGCGGAAGTGTTGTACATTGCAAAACGGTGGGAAGCAAAACCTAAAGCGAAACAAAGGGCAAATAAACACAGATAAGTAAAAACTATGTGAATACCTTAAAAGAGAGGCACTACTTTTCGAGCGAAAATAAATCGGCGAGAGAATATCACTATGGCGCATGCCATTTCTAGCGCTCGAGAATTGGGAACCGGGACTCGCAGCCGGTTGCTTGCGGGTCGCACGCCAGTGACTCGCGGGCGCGTGGGACTCGCTCGCACGCGCCCTTATTAAAGCTATTTTATTCAAGCCCAAAATTCATTTCATGGCTCCTTTAGCAATTGCTAAAAAATCCCCGGTAAAAAAAACAAGACAAAAAAAACAAGATATTGTTATTAAGCACCAATGGACATCGCTATAGAGGAAGAGGAGGAGGAGGACAGAAACTTTATTGATAACTTATTGCATGATTGTCGTTTTTTTCCCCTCCACCTGGTCGAAGCCCCGGAAGAGATATAGGCAGTAATAATGTAAGGTGAATGAAACGAAATTCGAACTTCAGAAATGTATGCACATCTTCTATTCCTAAGGCTCACAATATTTACATCAGGTCCTAGGAACGTCAGCAAAACCTTTGATTTGTGCTCACCATAAAAGTAATTTTAATATTTCCGAATATATTTATTTCTTGCGAGTCTGAGCACGAAAAACCATTAGAAGTTCACCGTTAACTTAAATATAGATTTATTCGTCTGAAAAGTTTCTTACTTACCACTGAATAGCCCCTATAAAGTTGTCATCGCCATGATAACTTATGCTATACGGGTAGATTACCTTTACAATCATTCGTGATCCCAGGGTCGGCGCCGTATTTGCCTTGACCACTGCTTCAATTTCCAAAGCCCCTCCCTTTACAGTATTCGTAATTTCGTATGTAATATATATGTTAGCTTACTAGGTGTCTTAGTCCGCGCAGTAGTTTTTAGATACCCCTATTCTGCCTGTGTCATAGAAGGAATGAACGCATTGCCTGGTGGCGCCTTAGAATTTAAACATAATTATGTCCTTCATTATTCACTAACTTGTGTAAAATCATATTAGCACCGAGATATTTCGATGGTGCCGTCCCAAGGTTTCCATCCATTACGTCACCTATAAGTTTTTCCAGAAACAAGACACCGTCGCATTTGCGAGTCTGGCAATGTCTTATGCCCGTGATTCGTCCAGCCCTGCAAAGCCTACCACAGCAACGTTTTTAAATGCAAATGTTTTTTTTCTTTTTTTTTCTTTTTAGTTAGACGCGTGCTAGACAATTTTGCGCCTTTTCTGTTGATGTTGCGTAGCCTATTTTCAAGTTCGACATTGTTAAAGGCACTACTGCGCTTGCATTCCCTGACTGTGAAGGCCTACAATATCAAATAAATAAAGTAAAAATATGTTTTATTCCACGTAGATCACGAGGTCCTTTTGAGATAAGAGTCACTTCACTGTGGCGGCTAGTCAGAGCTTGACCATATTCCGGATCCAGGGCAGGTAACTGGCCAGGTCCGTGTAGATGCCGGGCTGGTGGGGCACGCCGCAACCGATGCCGTACGACACGATTCCCACCAGCACCCAGCGACTGCCCACGGGCACCCAAAAGCCGCCTCCGGAGTCACCCTGCAAAGTCCAGAACCAAACAAGCATCCATTAAATGCACCTTGTGTATAATGGAGTCATCAAAGCCGTATACAGGAGAATCTAGAGCTATTGAATGAACCACGGAGAGTAACGATACATTGGCCATATTGGTGCGCCCACACTTCACTAAGTATACAGAATGGCAGCGGGCGCCCACGAGACTTTAATTCCGATTAATTCCCCCGTCAGACGCCATTCTGCTACAATAGCTGCTGTCCGTCACACTGCTGGCAAAATCACGACCTACTGTAATCCTAACCTGCCCACCGAAAGGCGGGGAATGACGTCAATGAAGCGCCTTTTTTCGCCATTGAGGACGCGCGCTAAAGACTCTTCTGCGACCCAAATGTGATTCCCAGCCTGTCTTGTGCGCGGCGTGCGCAGCTGATTACAGCTTATAGACCTCTTGCCGAATCGAAGCAATCTTAGTGGCGCAATACCACGCAAAACATCTTGGGATCCAATGGTCACGGTGTCGTTTGCGATTTGCCAGCCTCGTTTCACGACATCCCGTCATGAGCGAACACAGAGCGTGCATTTTAGAATATGTGACATTCCTGAAATGTATAATACTGTAGGTGATACTTAAAAACACAAGTATAATGCGGGTACATGTTTTGGCAGTTTGTTACTTTAGACCCATGTTACGGATAAAAAAAACAGGACGCGGGACGGCCCAGAAAAATGCGTTTTTTGTTTAAAGGGGTACTCCGCCGATTTTTGAGCTACCTCAACTAACTATATTTTCTGACTCCCCGGCCTTCACCCTTTCCGGTATGCTATTTAGTACCGTGAAATTCATAATAGTTATTGTGAAATCGGCAATGAAAATGGTGCAAAAACCAACATTCAAATATACCCGCCCTTTTCAGTGCCGTGACGTCAGTGAAAGGTCAGCTTGCCAGTCGGGCGAGCAGTCTAAAAAATACAATATGCCAATCATTTGTTCCGTGCTGGAGCGCGGAGACTGGAGCGAGCTTCCAAAGCATTCATTTGGCACCATGAAACTGCTTCGAATCAGTTGGGAACAAATTCTACAGTCCAAAGAGTGAACCCCTGCACTTCCACTGACGTCACTTTTTCGCTGTTGCCAGTAGAGACTTTCAGTTTGAAAAACACGGTGAGGACCAAAATTGTAAATTCAATAACTTCGTGAAAAAAAAATTATTTTGACCCTATATTTGGGATACTATTTTGGCGATGTTGTTTGGCGAGTTGAGCAAAATTTCAAGCAAATCGGGAACCATGAAGAAATCGGCGGAGTACCCCTTTAAGGCTCGTCAAATTATGAAGCGCTGGAGAAATGCAGCATTCTGCGTTAAGTCCTTATTTCGAACTCTTTTTGTTCGCCTTCCGCCCATTGAAAAGCATGCGGGAAGGGAGAGCGCACCTGGTATCGCTGCGCCGCAGCGTTCTTCCGCAACATAGACGCTTTACACACGCCCCTGACTACAGCCGCCATTGCTGACCTTCTTTTGTCTTTTGGAGATACCGAGTCACTGAAACGGCTCTTGACGAGCCTCCAGAAACGCCAATGCTGGATAGAAGGACGCAATAGAATTTAAGATGGCAATAACCTGGCCTGCTATGGTAATGATGAAGTGAAGAAAATTCAATAAGAGGAACAAAAACTGAAGGTCAGTTATGGCGGCGCCCATGCACAGCTGCTGCAAAGCGTCTATATTCGTCTGCTTTCCTCGCCGTCACCATGGCGACGAACGCCGAATGAATAGAAGCACGCACGGTACCGCCGCGTGAAGCTAGCAACAGCTACGGTGCCTGGAACGCGTCTCCGACTGGTGTGTTCACCGCGGCCAAAAAAGTGGTCCCTCGATTTCCGCCTGATGACGTCATAAAAGTGTCATGCTGTCGCCGGTCGCGACCCTGGCGGTGTCCCAACAGTTGTGGTGTATGTAGCAAATGCCTGTTCTGCTGCAGGTCGCTTTCCACTGCGACATTTCACGGAAGCTAGAGCAGCCGGAGTTGGGACGCCGTGACGACAGCGACACTCGCGTTCGCTCGTGCTTTTCGCCAGCATTTCTACGGCCAACCGCCAGGATCGAGACAGGCAACAGCATGACACTCGCGTCATTTGTTGCCACATCGGGACCACTTTTGGTGTACGGGCGGGATAGGACGCTAAGCACACCAGTCGAAGACGCGATCCAGGCACCATACAACAGCTGACGCCATTTTATGAACGCCGTCTGCTAGCCGCAGAGCCGTATATGTAGAGAGTTTGGCCATTCGTTGGGAAGTATAGGAGACAAATGAAGCGGCGCCATTGGCCGAAAGCGGGCTGGGCGTGTTCCAGGGCGTCTTCAAAAATTCGAATGTGACCAACCAGAAGCCGGAAATAATAACCTGGCGGTGGTCGCAAGAAACAAACCTGATAACTGCATTGGAGTAACTCTCGATGGCTGAAAATATGGTTCACGTGATGTTTCAATCACACTCATCTAAAATGATGGTGGAAGAGTGCGACTAGCAGAAAGATCGACATAATCCTTACGCCAAACGCCGAGCGCCGGGAATCCGCCGTCAGAGCGGTCACACTCTGTCCGCGCAAAACAGAGTTGAGCGGCGCATTCGTTTCTTACATCTTTCTGCATGATCATGATGAAACAACACGTGCACCCTATTTTCAACCACAAAGAGTTACTACACTTCACTCTTACGCACTTATTAAAACCATATACGAACAGAGACCTTCGATGATCGATCGGCTCAGAACTGTTTCTCGCTACCACCGCTAGGGGATTCTTTTCGGCTTCTGGTTTGTCAAGAGAGCATGCCAAGCCCTCTTTCCGAGTCTGCCGCACGCCCTGGCTCTCCCAGCGCCTCCCATTGACCAAACTCTCTACATATACGGCTCTGGCTAGCCGAAGCCGAACGCGGTGTGTCAGATCAACGGCCTCCGCCGGTGCGCCGCTAGCAAAGACGACGAAGCTGACACACGCCGACGGCGATCGAGCAAGCAACAACACCGTGGGACGACTGCAACGGCGGCATTTATTCAAATCAAAGGCCGCCTTCGCCGGTGCGGTGCTAGCAAAGACGACGAAGCTGAGGCACGCCGACGGCGAATGGGCGAGCAACAGCACCGCGGGACGACTGCAAGTGCGGCATTTATTCGGATCAAAAGCCGCCTTCGCCGGTGCGCCGCTAGCAAAGACGACGAAGCTGAGGCACGCCGACGTCGAATGGGCGAGCAACAGCACCGCGGGACGACTGCAACTGCGGCAATTATTCGGATCAAAGGCGCGAAATAAGCAAGAACAATTTTTATTTGAATCATAACACCCGATATACAAGTTGGGGACCACATACCTTTGCTGGGTCTTTCCTGTGGACTTTTTACAAAGACACGGGGTGCCGCATTCAAAACACAGCTCCGTTTGAAAAATATGCATGGGCCCTGAAAAGGGCCGTTTAGACCGCTACCAGAACCTATAACTGACGTAACGAGCACTTGACGAGCGGTGGGCGCATACATAAGTTGTCTTTATGCATGCAGGCGGGTGATGGGTTCAGCGCAGCGATCACTCGAAGTCACCGGGGCCGTCAGAATCCTCGCCCTGTCTGCGTCGGGGCTCTAGATTTTGGCGGCCGCGGCGACGAACGACTGGAATCTATCAGTGTTTCCGCGCGCCTTGTCTCTCCTCCAAAACATTAACTTTGCATGGTGACCAGGGAAATGGTGGCTCTCGCGCCGTCCAGATGGAAGAGAGTTTTTGACGTGGGCCCATGGAGCAATCCACCGTATTGGTGTGCGCACCAGTGTTCGTGTCGACAAAGTGCAGCTTGTGGTTGTTGGTGAGGTGCGTGAAGCGAGCGTCATCTGCAAGCTTGCGATAGCCAGCCCAACAATCAGTGATCATTCTTGTTCCAGGGCGGACGCACTCGGCTATTAGCCCTTGCAGGGTTTTAGCGTCACGGGTCTCCACGGGAACAAGAAAGCAGCACCCGCTGCAACGCTCCACAGCGCCGAAAACCCACTGGCCAGGCCTTAAATACCCGCGATGGTACTTGTGCCGACCGAACATACTCTCGTCTGGTTCTACAGTCACGCCTTCGCCACCAATCATGTCTGAATGCTTAAAGACGGCGTTTGCCACAACCTCCCGACAAAGGCTCGCCCAATCAGTTATTGTCTTACTTGCGATATCAGCCTCCCGCTGAATGACGGCGCAGGGTAGGTTCTTGCATCCGGAGGATGATTTTCATGAGTTGGAGAAGCGTCAGGTGCGATCCTTCGAAAAAGGAACCGCTCCGTACCGAGACCTCGCCCGGCACTGACCTTTGACCCGCTTCCTCTTGTGGGCACCTCGCGAGTCATCCACACACCGCACTTCCCCCCCGTGTAGCCATCCGCAGATCTAGCGCGGACTTGCAGCTTGTCATCGCAGCTTCGCACTCTAGACACGCACGAAAACCCAGGAGCCAGGAGCAGGCCAACGCGCTGAAGCAAATTAATTGCTTCAAGAGGGTCTTTCATGGCGCCATGAAGACGGCACAAGTTGAACGCCATGGCACAGCGATGCTGGCCTCTGGAAGAATAAAGCGCCGAGGGGGAACTGCGCGCTTCTTTGCATTTATTATTTTTATTTCATCCGCCATCTTATTCCACATGACATTATGGCTTTCTCGACCGCTCTCGTGAGCGCGTCGGGTATGGACCAACAAAGTCGGGAAATCTAACTAAAAATACTTTACTCTGCAAGGAACCAGAGCTTGGGCATGGGCAGTCATTCGGAACTCGCAGTGCGGTCTCTTCACCGTCAGGCCGGTCGTTCTTCTATATCTCGCGCAGGGCTGCCTCGAGCTCGGGTCCCTCGTCGTCCTTCTCTTCCTTTTTGAAGAATGCAGACACCTCAGAGCATGGTGTCTTGGAAGGCTCTGGTGGTCCTACAGGGACACACCGCCACATTACTCCCCCTCCAGTGAGGAGGCGAACGTTTCAATAGCAGGGTCACACA